ACACACACCGCCCCCCCCCCGTCCCTTATAAAAGGCTTTGCCATTGTCGCCCCTGTAGTTGGCGGCAGACCCAGAGAGTAGTGTCTGGTGCTTTGGTACAAGCCTCGCAGCCTCATCAGATCAATAAGGGGAGCTGTTGTTTCGCCCAGCATACACTCACGGGAACATCGCGGGGTGCTTTACCATCACAGAACACCTACTTCCCTTTCGCGTCAAGCCCGGATCTGCCTGGTTTCTGTCGTTCCTAGAAGTGCCTATTTATTGACAGTACTTTCGAATTCCAACTGTCACTGATCTGTCACCAGCAGAGGTTTAGGCTTTTACCACTCAGGGATTACGGGCAAACACTTTAGGCGTTACAAAAACTGTGGCAATCGTTTGTGAAAAGTTTAGATACTTGGAAAAAACTGCGTTTAGGAGCGCTAAAAAGTTAAGTTAGTATCGTAATATTGGGAATAAGACGCAAAGAAGCACAGAACCAACCAGCTTTAATCAACATTAAGAGAAAAGGTAGCATACATTTAAACTAAGAGTTGTGATTTCTACGCTGACTCATCGAAACAGTTTGTATTCTCTTTGCTGAAATAGTCTTTTTGTGACTGAAACGTAAATTCAAGTTGTGCCAAAACCACAATGTCTATTGCCTTTGATATAGACCCCTTCAAAAACATACAACCCTTTCTCTGCATGCAACTCAAAGTGCCTCATTCAAAAGAAGATTTGGTCTAAAAAACATACGTCTCAAGCCCCCTAAAAAATATCGACCACAGAAAGCAAAGAAGTGTGGGGATTTCAGTTTTTAAAAGTATTTACTGAACGATATACATCAAAGCTCGATGCCGGAAATACGTGTTTCAAGTTAGAACAAACATCTAGAGACCACATTCGTGACACGTGACTGAGACAAGTGGTCAACTCCATTAGAAGTGATATTCACAGGAGAACTAGTGTACTAGGACTCATCTCAGGAAATATTGTAACTTTGACTGCAGACATTATAAAGCCTGCTCCTCATACATTCACGGCCATCGCTATCTCAAGCCTGCTCTTACCTTTGTCGTGACACCTTGAGGCAATTACTATTCACAGCGGATATTTTGCTTTAGCTGTAAATCCCACTAGCACTTCTAATCTAAATACAGAAAAAAGACGAAATATATATCTTCACATTCAGTTCAGGTCGTAGTTAAGTAAAACGAAACGTGTAACAAAAAGATCTTGTTCTCTCTCTGATATTGCCCTCTCTCAATCACTGTGCTTTTGTTACCTCGAAGGACATTGTACATCCCTAACTCAGTTAATCAAGATCTCACCAAAGAGGGCAAAACATAAAAGTTTAAAAATAGCAGAAGGAAGACGTAACGAAACAAAGCCTTTCAAAAGTCAACTTATACTTTCATCATTGTGAGTTCTTCGCACAGGAGGAAAACTTCAAAGAGCTCTCCATTTCTCAGGGGGGTAGGGAAACTCTGTCACCATATCTTTGGACACCTACACTAAAACTTCCAATTTCAAACCATTTTCCTATTACTTATCGTGCCGTCTCTGCCTCAGAGATCGACGCCCACACCTCCAACCCTTCAGTTGTTCTTCGGAACGATCGCCAGTGACCGTGCCGCCTTGGGATAGGGTTGGGTTGGATGATCTGGCCCATGCAGGTACCTCTCGCCCGTCTACCCTGCACAGCATCCTGTTTCGGCGTCCAAAGGCTTTAGCACAGGGGCGGGCAGCCGCGCGGCGTATGCTGGAAGTATGCAAATGATATTGATGATAGGGGTGAGTAGCTTCTGTCCAGATGACATTATGGTTTTGTTTGCTGTGGGTTTTTTTCTTCTGATTTTCGTTGTTATCGTCGTCTTGGTCATTGTTGAGGCTTAATGTCCGCGTTATTAATGTTGTGTTGTTGATACGATTTTATTGTTGTTGTCAGTGATTTTGTGTGTTTATTATCTATGTTGGTGTTGGAATTGGTATTTGAGTTGCTGTTGCTGTTGCTTCTGCTGCTGCTGCTGCTGCTGCTGCTGCTGTTGTTGTTGTTGTTGTTGTTGTTGTTGTTGTTGTTGTTGTTGTTGTTGTTGTTGTTGTTCTTCTTCTTCTTCTTTTTCTTCTTCTTCTTCTTCTTCTTCTTTTTCTTCTTCTTCTTCTTCTTCTTCTTCTTCTTCTTCTTCTTCTTCTTCT